GCTAGCGGGGCTCAGCGCAGACGGCGCTCAGCCAGAGCGCGGGATCCTGCAGGATCCCGCGAAACCAGGTCTTGGCGGAGCGGGGTCTGGGAGCCGTTCGCGGCTCCAGCGGTGTCCTCACGTATTGGCCCAGTCTGGTTCAGGACCTCCCTCAATGTTGTGGGTCTGTCAGCAACCAGGGTGGTCGCCAACGCGCTGGGAAAGCCTGCGGGGCGCGCTGGGGCAGGGACACACTAGGCAAATTGGAAAAGAGGAGGGCGGCCGCGGAGGAGGAACGCGGGGGTGGGCTCATGCGTAGATCATCTTCACCACGAGGAGTGCGCAGGCAGCTTCGGGCACCGAAGACGGTGTATTGGAAGGTGAGAAGCTCCCCAAAAATCAGCAGCGTAGTTTTTTCTACTTTGGCTGAGCCGGGTTTACGCTAGACCCAGTTCGGCCACGCCCGACCCACATGCCCGCGCTTGTGCTTGTATGTGTGTGTGTGTGCGTTTAGACATTGACGCCATGGCGCTGCGCCTAGCCGCGGCCGATCGAAAGTGTGTGCGTGTTTTCTTTCACTGTCCAGACCCGTGCGCTGGTGCATGTTGGGCCGCTGCAGCTTCCCGCAGTCGCGGGGGCGTTCCAGGGAGGGCCTCGGCCTTGAGGGATTCGAGGGGTGGTACCTCTTCTTCGGCGGAAGGCGGCGGACGACTGGCGGAGGGCGGCTGAAGTAAAACGGGGGAGGCGCCGTCAGCGGAAGCCAGCGGAAGGCTGGCGGAGGCCGGCGGAAGTCGAAGGTGCGCCCCACAGAGATGGCGTGTTCTTTTTGTTCAAGGTTTCCAGAATCGGCCACATGGACCCCAGGGAACGGCGAGCACGACATCTTCTCTCGTCGATGTGATCTCATTTTTGGCATTACCACGAGCGCGCGTTATTTGCTGGCGCTGCCCGCCGCTGCGCCAGGCGTTGGAGAGTGGCTCCCTCTCAGGGAAGTGTGTGTGTGTGTATGTCTTTGCAGGGCTGGTGCACTGCCTCGAACGGAGGCCTCGTGACTACAGTGGACACCTATGCCACGAAACACCCTGCTTGCCTCCAGGGTGCCCTGAGTTTCTTGGGTTTCGATGGTTTTGCTATGGAATGCGTGACGTTCCCATCCCCAAAATCAATGGGGTCTCAGGGTAGGGCTCCTTACGGAAGGTTTCTTGTGGTCGAGCTCCTACTGCATAGTCTGCGCTGCTGACGCGTGTGCCGTTGCATTCTGGAGCCTCTGGCAGCCCTCACACTGCGGCGCCGAGGAAGAAATGTGGTGCCTGTTTCACCGAGCGCGTTCCACTACTCGCAAAGTGCCTACTTTCAAACGTCAGGAACAAAGACACATGTCTGCTCGATGTAATTTATCGTACATAGATCCTCCGTGGAGGATCCAGGCCATCTCCGAGTAGTTACTTTGCGAGTAGTGGAACGCGCTCGTCTATGTGCGTGCGCGCAGGAGCGCGACGCGCACACGCTGTGGGGCGCGCAGGCCGGGAGCGCAGGTGCCCCGTCGGGGGCCTCCTGCGCGGGGCTGGATCTGGACCGCGCGCGTCCTTGTGTTGGCTCCACGACTCGAGTGCACGCTTACCCGAAGGAGAAAACGGCATGAACAGAAAGTTTTGGCGCTCCGCGGGGATTTCGAATTCAAAATATTGGTTTCCGGAATTCGAAAAACTAGTTTTGAATTAACGAAATTTGTTGTTGTGAATTCAAAAACTGTTTGAATTCAAAAACTGTTTTTTCTGGAATTCAAAAACCAGGATCCGCGCTGGGCCCCCACGGCGGCGCCTCCAGGCCAGAACGGGCCCGGAGCCAGGGCCAGGGCCGGGGCCGGGGCCAGGGCCGGGCCAGGGCCGGGGCAGGGCCGGGGCCGGGCCAGGCCCAGGGCTGGGGCCAGTGCGGGGCCAGGGCGTGGTCCAAGCCGGGACTGGGTCGCCGGGGCCGGCGGGGCGGGAGCCAGGGCCGGCCGGGACCGGGGCTATGGCGGGGAGCTGTTGGAGTGGGAGCCCTGGTAAAGAAACAATCACACTACCCCCAGACCCCCCCCGGGGACCACCCCCCGGGACCACCCCCCGGGACCGTCTCCCGGGACCACCCCTTAAATACCCCCCGGGACAACCCTCCCGGGACCCCCCTTGGGACCCCCCCCCCCGCCCCGGGAAGGGATCCAAGGGAAGGGCTTCGCCTTCACCTCCATGTGAACGATGTTATGTGGCGTATTGGCTGGAGTGGATTGCTTCGCCTTCACCTCCATGTCGACGATGTTATGTGGCGTAGTTGCTGGAGTGGACTGCTGCAGGAGGGAGGGCGGCGACCACGCGGAGGGAAGCGCTTCACACGCGCCGACAGGGTCGGCGGATTTGGGAATATTGTTTTGAATATCCGTAAGGGCTTCGTCCCCTGCCGCCGGCCCCCTCTCTCGGATAATGGGCAATGCAAGAGCGAAATCATGAGGCCTTGGCGCCGCCGTGAAGCAGCGTCAGGACTTCACGCGAAGACGACGAGTAATCGTCAAGACAAATTGAGATTCTGATGATATTGTTGAAGTCGGTGTTGTATTTCGAGGGTTTTGGGCTTCGGATACGCGAATCGCGCGTAATGTGCGAGGGTTTATGGCTTCGGGCTCGCAGTCATCGCGTAATTTACGCAGGTTTCTGGCTTCGGAGACGTGAGTCTGCGTAATTTGCAAGGTTGTATGGTTTCGGGCGCGCGGTTATTGTATAATTTACGAGGGTGTTTTGTTTCGGGGTCGCAGATATTGCAACATTGGACCCAGCTTTATGGCTTCTATTGCGTAATGTACAAGGGTTTATGGCTTCGGGGACGCGAATATTGTATGATTTGCGAGCGTGTGTGGCCTGGGGCACGCAATTATTGCATAATTGACGAGGGTCCATGGTTTCGGGAATGCGAATTTGGCGTATTTGTAAGGGTTTACGGCTTCGGGGACGCGAGTATAGCTCAGGAGGGAAAAAAACACAGACACAATTAATCGTGGATTTCCCAGAAAATATGCGAAACTATGAGAAGTGGGCGGGAAGACACAAACCCAGAAAATATTGGAAAATATAGGGGATCCTGTTATTTGTGTGTATCTGTAAGGGCTTCGCCCCCTGCCGCCGGCCCCCTCTCTCGGAGAATGGGCCATGGAAGAGCTAAGTCATGAGGTCTTGGCGCTGTCGTGAAGCAGTATCGAAACTTCATGCGAAGCCGATTCGCAATCAGCAAAACCAACTGATCACAAGAGGGGTTACCACACCTGGCGATTGGTAAGACGTGTATGGTTTACGGGCTTGGTTACCACACCTTGCGATTAAAGGGCCGAGGGAGTTCTCGCAGTTTGGGTTACCACGCCTTGCGATGGATGTGCGTGAAGGGTGGCACCGAATTTCAGAAATGTGGCAAATCCCCTGTGTTTTTGGACCCTGACCCCGCGGATCTGCGTGAGGGGTGGCACCGAATTTCAGAAATGTGGCAAATCCCTGTGTTTTTGGACCCTGACCCCGCGGATCTGCGTGAGGGGTGGCACCGAATTTCAGAAATGTGGCAAATCCCATGTGTTTTTGGACCCTGACCCCGCGGATCTGCGTGAGGGGTGGCACCGAATTTCAGAAATGTGGCAAATCCCATGTGTTTTTGGACCCTGACCCCGCGGATCTGCGTGAGGGGTGGCACCGAATTTCAGAAATGTGGCAAATCCCCTGTGTTTTTGGACCCTGACCCCGCGGATCTGCGTGAGGGGTGGCACCGAATTTCAGAAATGTGGCAAATCCCTTGTGTTTTTGGACCCTGACCCCGCGGATCTGCGTGAGGGGTGGCACCGAATTTCAGAAATGTGGCAAATCCCTGTGTTTTTGGACCCTGACCCCGCGGATCTGCGTGAGGGGTGGCACCGAATTTCAGAAATGTGGCAAATCCCGTGTGTTTTTGGACCCTGACCCCGCGGATCTGCGTGAGGGGTGGCACCGAATTTCAGAAATGTGGCAAATCCCCTGTGTTTTTGGACCCTGACCCCGCGGATCTGCGTGAGGGGTGTCGATTTCGAGCCCCCCCAGCAATTCAGACAACGCGCCCAGGGGGTGCTAAAAAGCCGGTTTGGGCCTCCCCCCCCCTCGCGCGGTCAATCAACTAGTTACAGTAACCAGCAATAGGCAGAACTGTAACATTGGAAACTACAAGCTACAACTGGTACAGGAAACTGCGAATCCCGCTCCTCGCAGCCTGGTGGCCCCACAAGGGGGCCGGCGGATTTATTTGTGTGTCCCAGGGCCCCTTCAATAGCGTAATTCACGAAGGTTTGTGGCTTCGGGGACGCGAATATTGTATAGTTTAGGAGTGTTTAGTGTGAATTTAATTTTTTTTACACGTCCCACGCCCCCCCCCCCGGGAATTCAGACAACGCGATTCTGGCTAGGTTCCTTCTCGGCTCCCCCCCTCGCGCGGTCCATCAACAAGGAAGAGTACGTAGCAATACTGTAACAGTGGAAACTGGAAGCTGGAACTGGTGAAGGGACCAGCAAACCTTCGGCCTGCAGGTTGGTGGCCCCGCAAGGGGGCCGGCGTATTATTTGAGTATTTGTGGGGACAGGCCCGACCTAATTCTGGGACCCAGGGGCATCCGATCATCGCACGCGCCTTCTCGCCCCTGGCAAAGCGGGGGTCGGCCGCTTCTCCGCTCCTCCCCGCTCTCTCCCAGGGTCCGACCCCTCCCCCGTGGCCCTGCTTCTCCTTGTCTGCCTGCCGGCCTGCCTGCCTGCCTGCCTGCCTGCCTGCCTTCCTGCCTGCCCGCTCAGCTCCCTCCATGCTCTCCCTGTCCCCTCTCCGGCAGCCTCTCGCTTGTTCGCTGTGGCTGGCACCCTTCTAGAAGGTACGTCTTCCACACACACACACACACACACACATATATATATATATATATATATATCTCTCTCTCTCTGCTCTGCTTTGTCCTACAGTGGCCTTTCCCTGTTCGAGGGCCTGACCGCTCCTCCTCCCGCTCCTCCTCCTCCGCGTTCCTCTCCTCAGCCTTCGCCTCCGCCTCCTCCACCTCCCACTCCTCCCGCTCTTCTCTCCCCACCCCTCCCCTCCCCTCCCTGCTCACCTGAGGTTAAGTCGGGCCTGTCCCTCTACAGGGGGAATATTCAAAAATAGTATAAAAATAGTCTGGGGACTATTTTTGACATTTTTTTTTTTTTTTTTTGTGTGTGTGTGTTTTTTGTTCGTCCAAAATCGGAGGGGGAGAAGGGGAGGTGAGTGGAGCGGCGGGGCCATTCATCCGTAGCAAGTGTATTCGCCGTAGACGTAGTACTTTGGCGGTAACGTTGTGCACGGGATGCCTTGTCTGTAGCGCTGTAGACGAGGTACGTGCACTTGATACCATCATACGTAATGCTATAGTAGTTCGTAATTCTTTGTCTTCCCCGACTTCCGGCAGGCCGGTCTCGCTATGGAGTCGTCGCTTGCCAGATCGTAGTGGTCAGCGTTGCACCTGAGTAGGTGTTGTACTTCTCGTTGCTTTCCTCCTGCTCCACGTTGTTCTCGTTGCCCTCGTCGTCGCACTCGTCTTCCCCCTGTCGTCGTAGAAGTTCCGTGGTCACCGTCGGCATGGGTCGCTGGCCTACGGGCATCCCCCTTCTGGTGCGCCTTGTAGTGGCTGCGGGCGGGCAACAGCGCTTCGATGGCTCCTGAGGGGCCCAGCGCGCGGACCATCGCGTCCCCGTCCTCATAAGTGGCGGTCGCCGCTCATGTCTGCGGGCGCCATCATGCCGTGGGGCTTGCTGTGCGCGGGGTTCGTGAGTTTCGAGATGGCCGTGATGGTGAAAGCCTCAGTGATTGCCCGCCCCTCTTCCTCGTCGTCCTCCTCCTCCTTCTCCTTCTCCTTCTCCTCTACCTCCTCCTCTTTCTCCTCCGCCTCCTCCTCCTCCTCCTCCTCCTCTACCTCCTCCCCTTCCTCCTCCTCCTCCTCCTCCTCCTCCTCCTCCTCCTCCTCCTTCTCCTCCTCTTGGGATGCGTGCAGCGAGGTTGTGCCGCCGCTGTTCTGTTGGGAGGGCAGACGGCGGCCCGCTGAAGGGGCGGGGATCGCGGCCCCTGGAAGTCGGGTCCTGCCCAGGGCTCTTCTCGATTCCTCCGATCCGACGGATTCCGATTCCGATTCCATTCGACTGGGGATTCCGACTTGGGCTCCGATTCCTTATTGGACGCATACTGTAGCGTGCCGAGTTCCGCCGATTCGACCCTTCCCGCCTCGGCTGCCGATCTCCGCCGATCCCGACGAATTTCGATCGCCGATGCGACTCATCGATGCGATGCTGGGCTCCCCTGCCCGCCGCCCGACCCCCCACCGTTTCGCCCCGCAAGGGGGGGCAGCGGGACCCTCTCCGAGAAGCGGGGCCCTGCATGGGGGCAGGTCGCCTTCTCTGGGAGCTCCCCTGGGTCAGGCCGCGGCCCCACAGGCGGTTGGATGTGTGGCCCTGCATCCATGCCTGTCGCTCGTGGGAGGCACAGGGCGTGGGCTGTCGCCAGACTCCCCGGACGCCTCTCTCCTTTTCTCTTTTGTCCTCCTCGTTCCTCGGGCCCTTTCAGGTGGAGCGCAACCCTGAAGCCATGTCCTTTGTGGAGAAGGAGCAGCGGGAGTTCCTGACCGAGCTGCTTCGCGAACGTGCCCTGGGCTCGCAGAGCCAGGCATGCCGTTCGTGGGAGGGAGGAGGGAGGGAGGGAGGGAGGGAGGGAGGGAGGTAGGGAGGGAGGGAGGGACGGAGAGTAGGAGGGGGAAGGAGGCGGAGGAGAGGGAGGGAGAGGCAGGAGGAGGAGGAGGAGGAGGAGGAGGAGGAGGAGGAGGAGGAGGAGGAGGGATGAGTGAGGAGGGATAAACAGGATAAACAGGTGCCTTCGGGTTCTACCTCTACCGTGCAGGACGGAGGAGGGAAGAGGGAGGACGAGGGAGAAGGGAGGAGGGAGGAAGAAGGGAAGGAGGATTGTAGTGTAGCGCTGATGCCCTTAAGCATACGTAAGCCTTTATGTGCCAGGCGGGGCACTTGGGCTCTGCCACCTTTGTAAATCGGTGTTGACGAAGGTTCGGAAACCCGACCTGATATGGGGTGGTACAGTGTACCTTCCGATTGCACCTGAAAGGGTGGTTGGTATGTGTCCGCCAGTATTCCTGGCAGCCAATTCTGCCAGTTCAAACTTGGGAAAGCTTGGTGAACATGTGAATGAGTGTACAGTCAACCCGCATAGTAAGGATGGGAAACCTTTCAAATGGTACCCTTGCATCCTTGCCTCCTCGGTCCATCCTTCGCCACTATCGTTGGTCGCGCCCCGCTCGAAAAGCTTTGCAAGGGGCGTGCAAGGCCCTTGCATCATTATCGCGCATCCTTATGATACGGGCCGACCGTAGCTACTCCAGCATACTAGAGCATTCGGGGTGAGGTATGTGATGGTGTACAAGAGTGTGTGCACAACACCCCAAACATGTGTCGATATTCGAGGGCCACCCCAACAAACAGCTGGAGAAACACTTGAGTGCCAGGCTGGTATTTGAAGGTGCGCATTGCGACACTGGCAACTGAACTGCAATGCCTGGTATTCGCCGCGACAAGGAAACAACACTCTTCAAATGTGTAAGATTGGGGAAAGGCCCACCCACGCACAGCCGTATCAGGGCGCTCCCCCGTGGACGTGTAGACTAAGTGCGAACGCCAAAGAGAACCTGACTCGTAAGGCAGGTCTGAAGGAGCGCCCAGAAGCGCTGTTCAGCTTCCAGACTTGTTGAGTTAGCAGCGGCTCGCTCGATATGGCGGCTTTCAACTGGGGTTGGGGAAGGCACCGATTTGAAACCTAATTGCATGTGTCTCCCTAGTGGCGTAACTCCAGAGGGTTCGGGGGGGGTGTGCTCTTCGCAGACCAGAAGTCTCCTTACAGGCGCTCCGTGCGTCCTCTCTCGACTACCCACAGGAACACTGCGCGCCACTGGCTCGGGAGAGGTGGGAGGGAGGATGGGGGATGGAGTATGGAGGAGGGAGGAGGGAGGATGGAGGCGGGAGGAGGCAGGAGGGAGGAGGGAGGAGGGAGGAGGTGGAGGAGGGAGGAGGGAGGAGGGAGGAGGGAGGATGGAGGAGGAAGAGGAGGAAGTGGAGGAGGGAGGTGGGAGGCGGGATGAGGGAGGAGGGAGAATGGAGGAGGAGGAGGTGGTGGAGAAGGAGGAGGATGAGGAGGAGGAGCAGGAGAAGGATGGAGGGGACGAGGCTGAGAGGGAAGAATAGGGGGAGGCGGGGGAGGACCTGCCCTCCATCCTTGCATCTGGTGTAAACTTGGCAGACGAATGTGCGCGGCGCAATGACGAGAACCACATTTTGAAAAGGACCTGCCCTCCATCAGGAACGGCTGCAAGCTTTTCATGCGCATGTGCGCGGCGCTACGGCGAGGGCCACACTTGAAATCGATCCACCCACCCCTGCGTAACTGTTAAACGTGTCAAGCACGGTTATAACTGCGCAAGAACCGCCTTGCTTGCCCTACCGACACGTTTGGGGGGTGCGACAGGGAGGAGTTATTTATCCAGCTGCCTGTGTCAAGGCCCGCCACCATGCCAGCCCAGCATTATGGGTAGCGACTGTTCGAGGGCGGGTGAGCCGTGATGAGGATGAGGACGAGGATGATGATGTTGATGATGCTTCTGCTGTTGTTGCCGTTGTTGTGTGTCGTCGATGTTGTTGTGGTCGGTGTGATTCTTATCGTTGTGGTTGCTGTTGTCGTTGATGATGTTGTTGCTGTTGCTGGCGCTGTTGTTGTTATTGTTGTTGTGTTGGTGTTGTTGTTGTTGTTGTTGTTGTTGTTGTTGTTGTTGTTGGTCTTGTTGTTGTTGTGGTTGTTGTTGTTGTGGTTGTTGTTGTCGTCGTTGTTGTTGTGGTTGTTGTTGTTGTTGTTGTTGTGGTTGTTGTTGTTGTCGTCGTTGTTGTTATTGTAGGTGCTGCTGCTGCTGCTCTTGTTGTTCTTTTTGTTGAATGCTAATTCCGAAGTAATTACTGATGATCTCTGGAAACGGTTCCGCGCGCTCTCGCCTCGACGCCGGATACGTTTTCTTTAGAAACGAAGCTCCCGCTCGAGCGTTGGCTTGAGCCTAAATGTGGGCCCTTAGAGGTAGAGGCCCATCTACGTCGACAACGGCTCCCGCTCGATGCTTCCTCGCAATTTATCCCGAGACACCCTGGCCAGAGAAGCCCCCGAACTCAGGAACGGCGCTGTCGCTCGAGACTTCCTCGCAAGTCAATCAAGTTGGCGGAGGCACAGCCACGACGACAAGGGCTCCTGCTTGATACTTCCTTACGATTTACTCCGAGAGCCCCTGGCCAAGAAGGCCCCCGAACTCAGGAACGGCGCTCTCGCTCGAGATTTTCTCGTAATTCAGGCAAGTTGGTGGAGGCCCTGTCACGGCGACAAGGGTTCCCGTTCGATATTCTTCATGGGTATTCCGAGAGCCCCTGGCCAGAGAGGCCCCGAATTCAGGAACGGTGCTCTCGCTCGAGACTTCCTCGCGCTTCAGTCAGTGGCCGACAAGGAAGATATTCCCCCCGAAAGGGTGTGCAATCGAAGACGAAGTGGGCGGGTATCGAGGGTTGGGGCATACGGAATGCAAAACACGCGTGCCAGTGCGAGCGATCAATCATGAAATGATTGTTGTTGCATTGTTGTTGTTGTTGTGATCGTTGCTGTTGTTACTGTTGTTGCTGTTGCGGCTGTTGTTGTGGTTGTTGCTGTTCATGCTGTTCTTGTTGCTGCTGCTGTTGTTGCTGTAGATGGTGATTTTATCGTTGTCGTTGTCGTTTCCGTTGTCGTTGTTGTTGTCGTTGTCGATATCGTTGTTGCTTTGCTCTGGTTGTTGTATTGGTGGTTGTGGTTGCGGTTATTCTCATGGTTTGTTGTTGTTATTATTATTGTTGTTGTTGCTTCTGTTGTTGTTGTTGCTGATATTTGGTGGCAATGTGTGCGCCTCCGATTGCGTGCAGTGACTGGGCCTTGCCCTGTGGTGTTGTGCGCGAATACAGGTACAGTGGGATTCAGAACCTATGCCCCCGGTGCCTCCGCCGCACCAAGAGTGCGCAGGTATTCCGCAGATATGCACGGACGAGCGATTGGTCTCGGTTCTGATCACGGCTCGTGAACAAAACATTTGCAACAGCCTCATGGAAGTATGTGGATCGTCTTCGGAATGTGGTTTTCGCTTTAGCACCGCGTAATTTCGTCTTAAATCTTCGCAGCAGTTTCACTGGAAGATATGGGGCCGTTTTCAAACTCGAGCTCTCGCCTTGCGCCGCGCACACTTGTCTGAATAGCGTGCGCTAGCTGGACGGATAGAGGGTGATTCCTGTCGCAGCGCCGCGAGCTTTCTGTCGCAGGCCTAGAGGTTGACACCGACACCAATATTGGCGGTGCGCCTCCACCGAGGGAAGAAGATCCCGATCTCGGTGATGGTGGTAATATTTTGGCTTCCAAGGTGACCGAAATACTACTACCAACACCGAAAGCTAGGATCATCCTTCCCCCTGTGGAGGCACCCCCCTGTGTTTGTGTTGGTGCCCATTTCCAGGCCTCCAATTTTGTTCAAAATCTAGCAGCAATTTCCAGGATTGAGCAGTGGTCGTCCTCAAAGTGGGACTCTCGCCGCAGTCCCGCGAGCGTTCGTCCTCTCGTGCAGCGTTCACCAGGGTGGAGGACTGCGCCTTTTCAGAACGGAGCTCTCTCCCGAGACTTCGTTCAGTTGACAGACCCGAGACTTCAAGGCACATAGCGCGGGTCGCTGAACATATCCATGTGGCCTTTTTTCAACATGGCAATGCCGATTGAGTTTCCCTCGAAGTTCATGATAGCAAGTGTATGCTGGCGCAACAACACGGATGGGGGAGGCGGTTTTCGAAAAGAGGATTTCGTTGCACATTTCGTTGAACTGAATGGTCATTGTTTTGATGGCCCTCCACCACCACCACCATAAGTTGGAGGGGGAGGGGGTCCTCCTCCTCCTCCTCTTCTTCCTCCTCCTCCTCCTCGTCCTCCACCTCCAACCTATGGAGGTGGTGGTGGTGGTGGAAAACATACCCATCATGCTTTCCCGTGCATGATTGCGCGCCAGAGCTGCAGCGCGTCTTCTTTAAAACATGACGCCCTCGCCAGAAGGGCAGGTCCAGCTCTGCTGGTCTTTCAAGGGGGGCGCCTCTTGTAGTGACCAAGGAGGACTGGTAGAGGCGCGCGAGGAGCGGACTTGGTACGGGAGGGTGTATGGCAGTACCGATTGTGCATCTTTGGTTTGCTCTGGTCCTTCCTTCTCTTTCTCCTCCTCTCCTCCTTCCTTCCTCCTCCTCGTATCCTTCTCCTCTCCTCTCCTCCCTCCTCCTCCCTCCTCCTCCTCTCCTCCTCTCCTCCTCCTCCTCCTCCTCCTCCTCCTCCTCTTCCTCATCCTCCTCCTCCTCCTCATCCTTCTCTCCTCTTCCCTCCTCTGTAGCCATTTGGGCTGAAGCCATGCCAGCTCAAGCTATCTGTGCTCAAGCGGTTGCATGCCTGGCATTCGGTCGGCCGTCCTCGGGATGGACGCTGCGCGTCGTGCTGGAGGGGCTCTCGCCATCGACGACGCCGCGATTCTGGTGCAGGCGGCGATGCGGGGGGGGATGGGGGGGCGAACCCTGGAGCGC